CCATTAATTTGGATTAGTAGAGGCGGAAGTAGGCGGAACTTGGTGTTTTCGGTGCTAAAAGGAATCAGGTAATGCGTAATGAGAGAGAAGAGATGAAGAGAGGGAGAGGTAAAAGGAGTTTGAAGGCGGTTTGAAGACTGCAGTAAAGTTTTTTCCGAAATCCAACCCTGCATTTATAGGCAAGCGGCGATGATTCAATGGCGCTAGTGGCCGACCACCACTGGAGAAATATTTAATATTTTTGGGAAGCGAACCGACGGGACGTTTCGGTCACTTCGAGCGCCTAGGTCATGGGAATGACATCATCATCAAGGACTTCGGAAAATCGAAGCTCAAGTCGTTTCTTATCATTTTATTCTAAGAAACGCGGGGACTATCTGTATACGGTAAAATCATGTGTCCCCGATTTTGTAGGCTCGAGGGCTCGCATCGAGGAACAAACTCGATATGGACCGGGCTCGAGCCCAACGGCAGAATAATATGCTCGAAGATCGCATTGCTCGATGAACACCGGGGCCGAGTACGACCAACCTCGAGATAATACCGTTATGGTTTTATAACAGAAAGAGTGAGATTCTCGGGATGGCCCCAAGATCATGGCGTAAATACCGGAATAGATTTGTACGAGTTAGTACGGATTTGTACTAGGCGGTTAGACAGCTGTCCCAATAAGATTCCTTACTGTAAATAGAAATGTACCTTATTTTAGGGTTCCCCTACTATATAAAGGGGATACCAATTATTTGTAACGCATCAATCATTGGCAAAAGAATATACTCTCTTACTTTCTTGCTCATTACTCATCAGAATTGTCTCTTAACTTTATTGTCTTTACTTTACTGTTCTTGTTGACCTACCTCGAGGCCATCATAGCTCGAGGTCAAGACTTGCTCAAGCACTGATTTGACTCAACTTACTTCTTTAATTTATACGTTTGATTTCATTGTTATTAATTTGTATTGAATTAAATCACGTATCATTAAAACTACAAACAAGTTTAATTATTACTCGTATTTCGAGGTAAACAAGCATATAGCCTTCCTCTTTTTGGAAAAAAGAAATAGAAAGAAAAAGAGCAAACTACCATCTCTTATTTTGTTTTTATTTTATAAATTAGAAGAAAGACATTGTAGCAAGATCTGAAAAAACTTATCCACAAACAATCACCACCAAGATACTTATATATACATTTTTAAGAGTTTAATTTTACTCACAGACAGTGTGACAAATATCAAGTCATCTAAAAGATAAATCATATAATCGTCCATAAAATATATAATTAGAGTCGTTAAAACAAGAGAAGCAACCTGCTAAAACAAATTAAATTACATAAACTATAAAAATTATTTTCACCCTCATCTCAACTGTGCCAGGTCAATGCAGGGACTAAGTAGAATGCTGACAAAGAGGGTGCTTCTGTCACTTTCACTTATCACTTACCCCTTACTTCCCCATGACTTAAGAGGAAAGAGCCTCCTCTTTTCTGCAGTTTCAACCTCCACCTTCTTTAACTTAATAAAACAAGCCTCTTACTTTTTCTTGATTCAACTACTCTCATATCAAATTCCAAGAATTACCCATATAAATATTAGACATAAGAGAGCCAAACAAAATAGGAGTTTTTACACCATGAGAACAAGCAACCACTTGATAGGTCTAGTGAACTTCTTCACATTTCTTGCATCAATTCCAATCTTGGGTGGTGGAATATGGCTAAGTAGCAGAGCAAACAACACAGACTGCTTAAAATTCCTTCAATGGCCATTAATAATTATTGGGGTTGCAATTATGGTAGTTTCTTTAGCTGGTTTTGCTGGTGCTTGCTATAGGAACACTTTCCTCATGTACCTTTATCTATGGGCGATGTTTTTCATCATAGCTGCTTTGATTGGTTTTATAATCTTTGCTTATGCTGTCACTGATAAAGGGTCGGGTCGACCCGTTATGAACCGGGGCTACTTGGAGTATTACTTGCAAGATTACTCTGGGTGGCTAGAGGAAAGGGTCAAAAGTCAGAGCTATTGGATGAAAATCAGCTCTTGTATTAGGGATTCTCATGTTTGCGGTAAGATGAGGAGAACATATAATAACGGAATTCCAGAGCCTGCTGAAATGTTTTACCGTAGAAAGCTTAGTCCTCTTGAGGTAATTACCAATAAGAATCTTTTTTTTTTTTTTTTGGTTGTTTATATGATTCAATTCTAGCACGAATTATAATGTTTTAAGAAGAAAATATGCTAATTTGTTGTGCTCTGTTGAATCTTGAAATGTTTTTTGTTGTTGTGGAAATTGCAGTAAGTTTTCTTTTTGAAATTGATTTCTTTCACCAAACATGACTAAGAAAGTGCTTAGGGTTGCATGTACATCTGTTATTACGGCATTGACAATGAAATGCCAACTATACATGTTTACGTTTTCCATGTTTTGATTATAGGTAAGTAACATGTGAGGTGCCAACAAATACCCCTTGTCAATTTCCGACCTACCAAGTAGGATATAAAGCCAAAAGAGAACAAGAGAGAGAGAGAAATGCAATCAACTTCAACTGATCGAATTTAGAATGAATAATTAGCTAGGTCAGTGACAAAAGAAAGTGTGGGACAATTAAAATGAACATTTCTATGGGGATTTCTTTTTCTTTTCCATTCTTGGCTTTTTAATTGAGCTTGGGGTAACACTCTTCTTTAATCTTTATATAGTGACGAGACATTTTACCTACTTTTCAATAAATAGGTATTTTTGACCTGTGACAATATGCATGTTTTATGAGCCTGGATGTTAGCTACTTCGGACTGATCCTTATTTTATTTATTTTGCTTTGAATATCCTACTTTAATTTAGGTTCTTTTAGCAGCAACTTTGGAAAAGAAAATTTGTTTGCTTTATGTTTGCCTAACATTTCGTCTTCTTTTACTTCTTTAAAGACTATTGCTGCATGTTTGGATCATAAGTTCATAACTTGTTAGGAATGTTAATAGCCCAAAGCATCTTCAGTGCTTTCTCCCTCACTTTACCCTGATAATAGATGGGCCCTTGTAATTAATCTCAGTTTCACTCTTCAATTTACATATACGAATATGAAAATGCAAGAAAGGCTCTTTCTTTACATGGTGACCATCCAAGGAAATTAACTATTCCATTTAATAGCCTTTATGATCACATGTGGTAGAAAAATTTTATGCATGGAAAATTAAGAAAACTTGGTAGGTGGCTGCTTTAGTTTATGCACAGTACAGTTGCCTTAAAGGGATTTCATGTATAAATGGCTGCTTTAGTTTATGCACAGTACATGTAGCAAGAGATTTCATATTAAGTGGTCCAACACAAAAAAAAGAAAGAAGCTTCTCTAGTTTATGAGTCACTTGTAAGAGTTTGTACACGCAAATATTTTCCTGATGTAACCTAGATCAACATGTTAAAAAAATGAAATGTATATGTCGTGGATCTTAATTTGCAAGTGGTACAGTTGCCTTAAAGGGACATTGCTTATGAAAATATTTATTGCTTCAATCACTGCCTAATATTATATGGCCTTTGGCATCAATCACCTACTATATGGTGGTTTATATAAAGTAATGGACAGGTAGGGGTCTGCCTAAGCCCCACCTCAATGGTGGTTTATATATTAAAAAAATAAAATAAAAGAAATCACCTACTATATGAAAATAGTGTATACAAGTTTGATGTTGATGTCTATGACTAACTTTGTTGGAATAGATGGAAGCCTAACTCCCAGCAAGCTCCAATAATTAGGGCCCCAATTATTGACATCACATATATGCAGCTTGAAGAGCAAGAGAGGCTATGCGTGCTAGATGTTTAAATATCCAACAAATTAACTCCATCTGTGTGATCTTTGTAAATGTAGCCAGTCCTAAACGCTGGATAAAAAGAAGAGAGTTGTTGTAGGTTGACTACGGATGTAAAAATAGTCCAACTTGGTGAATCCTCTGACTACTGAATAGAATAGAATAGTCACAAAGAATTTCCTCAGGTTGGACTCTTCTTTCTTGTAAATCCCCAAATTGTTGCGTAAAATATTGATTAAGGAGCATTCGTGAGCAAAACTACTCTTGCTCTAACATTAGTCGGTATATAGTACAGTGGTAAAGACAACTTCTCTGACAAAGTCTTGGAACTTTTTATGTAGTCTGGTTGCTGCAAGCCCCCTACAGAATGTGGCTATACTTACATGAATGAGACAGTGTGGAGTTCCGAAGGAGGGCTGGTAGGAGGTGATCCAGATTGTGTTAGATGGAACAATGATCAACGGCAGCTCTGCTATAACTGCAATTCTTGTAAAGCTGGTGTTCTGGCAAGTCTTAAAAAGAGTTGGAGGAAAGTATCTGTCATCAACATTGTCATATTGATCATTCTAGTCATCATGTATATTGTTGCCATAGCAGCATTTAGACACAACAAGCAGATTGATAACGACGAGCCTTACGGAGAAACCAGGATGGAGAAATCTCAACCTAGCAGGATACACTTCTAAGAGTTTCCCCATGACAATACAGTAAACCTTGAAATGTATTCCGTATGTTTGGCATTTCTATCTTATTAGAACAACATGCTTTCTTCGTACTTTCATATGCTCCCTTTCTCCCCCAAAGGGAATTGGCTGTAAATCTCGTATGAGTTGTTCTGTTCTTTTTTTTTTTAATAATTAATTCCTTTTTATGCCTGGGTTTCTCTTTGAATTGGTTTTGGAGGCAGGTTAGTTCTTTCCGGATGTAGCAACTTGCTATAAGAGATAAAAACATTCATATAAGCTTGACTTTTACTTAAAGAGCATCGAGGGTGAAATAAGAAGGCATAGTTTACCATTTTGCTGGGCGTAAAAGTCGGCCCAAAATGCCTGCAACAAAGTAGGGGGAATAAATACAGTATGCAGAGTATTAATAGTAATACATAGTATTAATCGTAATGCTTCTAAAGCACATTACAATTGCTAAACTAGTACAACATATGAAGTAGGAGTTAATCTTGAACCAGACGATCTACTTTTTACTTGGGTCAAACTTAGCTTTTGTTTCGCGGCCTTGCTCCGGACTCCATCTTGTGATTGTTCTCTCTTCAACAACATAGTTATCTAAGCACGACGGAGAAGTTGCACAATTTTGCTGTTGCTCAATATCAAGAATTAGTAACATTTTCGCCACACTACCACAAAGTCGAAGAGTGCAATGGAAGTCAGACCAAACCCTCAAGCGACCATTTGCACTACCATTTTGTGAAGATAAAGCAAGCAAAGCATATTCAGAATGTACTAGAGCAGGATGATGACGATAGGCAACAAAGTCTACCCCGTACTGAGAGCCTGATCTAACCACCCAGTTCTTACTTCTAAGGTGAGAAAAAGCTTTGAATAAGATAGGAAAATCTTCCCTCCTGGATGTCATATGCCTCCATAACTCATCACTGTTCAGTTCAATGTCATTGTGGTCAACAACCTTAATGCATTTTAGAGAATACTGAAGGTAAAAAGCTTCTTCCATGCAGAGCTGAAACCATTGCTCATTCTTTTCTGCCGTTACCCTAGGCCTACCAAAACATGCACGATTGAGGAGCTCAGTTTGTTCTGTGTCTGCTTTAAGAAGCACATTCGTACCAGAAAGCAGTCCTCGAGAGTTTGAGCAGATCAGAGCAGATTGAAGCTGGCTGATTATTTCTGAAATGGGATCTGCAAGAGCTTTAACTTCTGCCCCTTTTCCTTTCCACCTCGGCCCCATTATTCACGTTGACAACAAAAAAAGAGTCTAAATTCACGATATTCCTATTTACACCTGTTTACACGACTAACATTGGACCAAAAAATGCAATCAATCAATTACATAGCCATACAACACATGATCATAGAAAAATAGACACCAATTAGAGAATTTTCAAAATGTAAAGTAAATTGCATTTTGCAACTATGAAATGGTTATTCCAATGTCATGCTGTGAAAGCACTTTGTCAAACAATTGGCAGCAGCAAAGTGGTAAAACAACTACAACAATCCAATTAAAGAATCCATCAAGCACAACATGGCCTAGAGAAAGAAAGTAAACATAATGCACATTCAATTCAGAAACGGTAGCAGCTAAAGAAGAACTCATCCCTCCATAAGCCCAAATGGAGCTTTTCAAGGAGTATATTAAAAAACACGGGAAAAGGGAGCTACTGAGAGTGAAGCACTGCAGAGAAACTGCGGAGATATTTCTTGCTACCAATCATTTTCACCCCAATTTTGAGGGGTTTCAAGGTCTGTTCATTTATGTTAAATATGAAAACAATCAGAAGAGAGAGAATACACTGTGGGGAACTAATACACTGTGGGGATCTAAGTGTAGGAGGATAATACGCTTACTTGGAGCACTGAACCACCCAAAATAAGGCTCAGACAGAATACCTACCATTCATGTCGCATGTAGCTGACTAGCACAGGTATAGTCATGTTAAAAAGTTATGGTAAAATAAAATGTTGACAAAGTCTCCAACCATTTTATGGATTATGACTTTTTTCTTTACCAGAATCCGTCGCCCTTTTTTAATACCTGATGATTTCATAGTTTCAAGTTTCCAGTTAAGTCATTCAAATTCTCAAGTAAGAAAAAGAAGATTCTGGTTATTTTCTAACTGATGCTTGTATGCCCATTTGAAATATCGCAGCAAAGTGATATACACCTAGAAGATTATCATGCAGAATCTGGATTTTGGAACCATTATCAAAACATGTTTATCCACGGATCCAAAGTCAAATAAAGCAAATATCTTCTTCTTCATTCTCTCATTCCCTGTCATATGCACTACCTTAAATTTCAACTTACAGAATACTTCAACTCTAAAATACTGAGCAATATTTCAGCTATATAATAGCCATATAATCCTGTACTATGCAGATCCTTTGTCATCCGGGTTTGAATTTCTCATTTATACTAGTAAAAGGCATTACATTTTGACACATAGGAAAGGTAGAGAAATTCTGTGCAAGAAGAATGCAAAGATTATGCATAAAAACTAAAGGTAAAAGAGTGAAACTGAACATAGTAAAAGCATCACTCTACCGAGCAAAAAATCAAACACCTCGTAGGCGGCAAGACATGCAACAATAGACATATTCAACAACTCAATATGCACAAAGCACATACATCAATCACAAAGTTATGGTTATTAAAAAATAAAAATACCTTTATACGGAAGCATCAAACGCAAAGGGCTTCAGACGCGTAATCACAATCAGCTTTCGAACTCTTTATGCCTTCCTCAAACTTCTCAGAACCAGACACGAAACTCAGAAGAAAAAGAAAGCAGAAGCAAATTTAATTAATTTAAAGCTGAATCAAACTCAATGTGTGGAACAAAGTTGTCTCCCATTGTTTTGATAAAAAGTGGAGAAGAAGATCGTGAGAGATGGGAAAATATGTAAATTGAGTTTCTATGGTTTGTTTAGTTAGATTGATTATTTTACATTATACTAATTTTCCATTTACTTATAGATTCAATTTGCTTGCTTACTTGTCTTTGGAGAAGAAGGATTTGGGATTGGGTTGATCCAGATAGGTCGGTTATTTTATAGGTCGGGTCAAATATTCATATACCACCTATTTAATTAAATAATATTAGTATGAAAAATGTACAGTTTTCTTTATAAAATCAACTAAACTACGTAAATAATATTAGTATTGAGACACTAGCCTAGATGAGCAAAGATTTCCTATAAGCCTTTCATTTAGAAAGCATTATAAATTAATATTGACTCATGTCACTCCATTTAATAAAGTTTGTTAAGACAGATAAAAACTTAAAGTAGATCAAATAAAATGGGATAGATGAATGATTTCAAAAGAGTTAATCATGATGAATCTTGCCTCCGTAATTTATTCTCATGGATGGTCGTCTCTTACCATATTTTCATCCAGCTGAAAAAATATATGAAGCTAAATTAATATTTTTCGAAGAGTTAATACTTTTTGTGAAACAAAGAGTGATAAGTAGACTCACTCTCTCAATTTATGTGATACAATTTGACTACAGAAATAGTTTTAGAAGTTTAAAAAGAAACTGAAGTTTATGGTCTATATCAAGCCTTAAATATTTGTAATTACTAGAATTTATCTCAAGGATAAAACAGAAACTTTAAAGATAAAGTATTTCTAAATATAAAATAAATTCTATTTTATGCATAATAAAAATAAAAATATGTCATTTAAAAATAAGACAGATGGATTACACATTTTGATGCGGAGGAGTACCAATCCTATCTAGTTCGTGTTTCGACATAGATTTTGGCTTTTAAGAAAAAATTATTTGTTCAATTTTTGAAAAAAATCTGAAGATAAATTTTCAAGTTCCAAAACCTAGTTTGGACCACCAGTTTTTGGGTAAAAATTTATCTTTGATTCACAGAACTTCAACATTTTTTCAAGTAAATGCATGTTCAAACACAATTTTAACTTTTAAAAATTATTTTTCAATACAACTTCAAAACTCTTTTTTTCAAGTCTCAACTAAATGACTAATCTATGTTTAAATGCCAGCGTAAAATCTCACATTGCCTTTTGAATTTTAGCACGTCATACAGAAAAAATGTACGTGCACCAGCATTGATGCTCTAGGATATTCTTAACTTTGAAGTCATTGGAAAATTTTATTTACAACTTGTTTGGATGGTTGTTCCTCGCTGTATTGTATTGTATTGTTATCCCAAAACGACGTTTGTTTTGATTGTTTCAACAAAATTGGTTGTATTGTATTGTTAAATTCATTGTTCCGAAACAATGAAAAGTCCTCTTTTTTGAAACAACCGATTTGGTGTGCTGGGATTGTTTCCAATTTTTCTTTCCAATTATGGCCTAACTTATTACTCCACAATTCTATTTTACCCTTTATCTTTTTTCTATTTTGACTCCAAATCTCCAACTTATAACCTACTTTATTTTTTTCCAGACCAGTGTTAAAGGTGTTTTACTGCCTTCTGTTTTATTTTTTCTCCTAATTTGCTTGTAACTCAATTCTAAGTAGTTGTGCTCCTTTGTTTTGCTTTCTTCTGTCTCGCTCCTTTGTTCTGCTTTCTTATTGTGTTTTACCTTCTTCTGTTTTGTTTTTAAAATTATTTTATGCATAATTTTTGATAAATTTAATATTTAAACAATTGAGGGTATTTTAGTAAACTTATCAGGTACAATACAGTACGATACAGTCAAACCAAACAACAAAATATTATTTAACAATAACAAACAATACAATCTATCCAAACATTGTATTCATAAAATGATACGGTACAATACGATACAATACAATAAAATACATTATAAACTGATGGGGAACAGTGATCCAAACAGAGTGTTACATTCATTCCACATACCAAATTATATTGTCACTCCTGTAATATGACTTAGTTAAGGATATACCTCATGGAGTATATTTTAAATCAAACACTTATGCTCTCTTATACTAGGAAAATCTTATACACATATTAGTTTGAATAATATTTTTATTTCATACGAATGTTAAGTGTTTAGTTTTTGAAACACGAGTTATGCTCGAAGCTAAATATATTAAAATCGAACAACTAAAAGAAAAAAATAAAATATGTATACGGTCAAAATTGGACTTGCCCTTTTTGTATGACTGATCGAGACTGGAACGCGATAAGCCAAGGTTCAGCCTCGTATCATATCGAACCATGATGCAAAGTTAGATTGCCGAGCTCGTGGCCTTGAGACCGAACAAGATCGAGATCGACCCAGATCGAGACTGAACAAGATAGAGATCGAGGGAAGCTTACCGAGCCGAATAACGAAAAGCTGAAATATCCGCAATCGGACAAGGATCACGGCGCGTATCCTGCCACGTATCAAGAAGAGGCCAATTAATTAGTCAATCATGGGATTTCTTACCTCATATAGAATTGTACCTAGAGTAGGACTACCCTACTATATAAAAGGGGGTCTTATCATTTGTAAACGCATCATATTCCCGCAATACTAAGCAATATACTGTTATTTTTTAGCTTTCATTATCTTGTTGTTCTGTTCATAAGCAAGTTGAAATATATTTGGTTCAAGGGTGACCGAACTCGAGGGCCAAGGCTGTTCAATTCGTGTGGTTTGCATTATTTCTTTCATTGACAATATTAATACTAATTTCTTAATTTGTACTAAGTTATATCACGTGTCCTTAAAATCACGTATAAATTCAATTGTTATCCAATTTTAGGGTAAACAGTTTGGTGCCCATCGTGGGGCTAAGGATAATTGTGGTTATCTGGTACAAACTTTCGTAACACACACTATTTTACACTTGTTCTTTGAAGTATCTTTGATTACAGGATTAAAAAATGTCAAACTCCCAGTCAGCACCTCAACACATTGATAATGATCTCGGCCACCACGGCGAAAATGAGAACATTGCACCAAGAAACGATGTGCCCCCTGTTGGCCTCGATGGAATTCCGGCTATAGATCCAATCGACGTCGGTTCACGTGTAGCCATCAATGGATATTTGGCCGTCGATCCCGAAAGCAGCGTCTGCGGGGATGCCCGATCAACTACTCAAAGCGCACGTGGCGGTGAAGATGACGGGATCAGCATGCAGGTGATCTTCAAAATGTTGCAGGCTCAACAGGCAGCAATAGCCCAGCTCCAAAACCAGAGCCACACACCGAGCAAGGTCGAACTCGAGCGATTCCAGGAAATCGTAGATAGGGTCGAATCGATTTCGAGGAAATCGAACGAGAAGGAATCGGAGACCAAGCC